AAGTGCTATTTTTAGTCTTGAATGTATCTTACGTTTTTATTTTTAAAGTGAATTATAGACTGCTTTTGAAGCAAATCCCATAATTCTCATTAATATCTTAAGTGAAAATTTTGAAAAGTAATGACTTTAGAGAGATGTTTCTTTGCATATTCTTGAAATGTAATGGCATATCTAAGATCAAAGTGTCCTGAAAAAATATGTGATATGTGATCACTAGATAGACAAAATTGCTATTTTGAACAATTTACAGTTGACTCAACATATATGAATGAATAATTTAATGTACATATTTTTAAAGTTTCAGAGCATAATTATTATCGAACATAAGATTATACTGTTAGATTATATTTTTAAAACATTATCGTATTTAAATAGTATAGTCACAGAGAATTGATCTTAATGTGAACATTTAATAAATAATTTTAAAATAAATTAATGGTTAATTATCTTTATAAATATTATCTACATTAATTTTCTAATTTGATAGGAAAGACCAAAGTATATAAATGAAGAGAAACTGAAACATTTTGTATAGTACCCTGAACCACCATAGAGTTAAAAATAGAAATGAACACTTAGACATATGTGTCTAAGATTAAAATAGGGTGTGACTTATAAACTATTAATGCTTACTTTGTGCTATTTCCGGCTGAGCAAAGCCTGTCAACTTAAAGCCAGTAAATAGACTGTTCTATGATAACACTTATTTCAAATCTAGTAATTTGTTTACTTAACATACGTCTGCTATTTCAATTAGCAACTTTGGCACATCAAAAAAGCCTTTTTAAATCCGGAAGAGAGGAATTATATATGATTTTATTTTTTTTTTAAAGTGTCTATTAAAAGTGTTTCCTTTTTTTATTAATAATTTTTTTATTGTTATGTTAACCACCATACATTACATCATTAGTTTTTGATGCAGTGTTCCATGATTCATTGTTTGTGCATAACACCCAGTGCTCCACGCAGAATGTGCCCTCTTTAATACCCATCACCAGGCCAACCCATCCCCCCACTCCCCTCCCCTCAAAAGTGTTTCCTTTTTATAGTATGAATTACTAAGTAGACTATCTAAATAAATATACTGCTTGGATGAAAGATAGGAACATCAATGTAAGCCCAATGTAGGAATATGAATAGTTAAAGAGTGGATATAATTTGGGTATATTTCATATATGTAGTGTATATGTATATGTACTGTGTATGTATAATGTATATAAAATATAAATTAAAATTACATGGTGACAGGTACAGTTCTAGACTTTGGAATACACCAACAAACACACTGTGTAATAAGTGATTTGTAAAATATGTCAGATGGAGTAAGAAAGGAAAGATGAAAGGAAGGAAGGAAGGGGAGGGAGGAAGAGAGAGAGAGAAAGAGAAAGAAAGAAAAAAAAGAAGAGTGTTCATCAAGAATCAGTAGTTTGGAAAGGATTCAGGATTAAACAGGAGTTGACTTCACTGGGAAAATGAGATTTGAGCAAAAACGGAAAGAAGGTAAATGGACAGACCAAATTGATTTACTATGTAGAAATTTCTTAAAAAAAAAAAGATGTATTTATTTATTTGAGAAAGAGAAAGAGCACGAGTACGAGTGTATATGCACCTGGGGAGGGGCAGAAGGAGAGGGAGAGAATCTCAAGGAGACTCCCCGATAAGTGGTAGCCCAAGGTGGGGCTTGATCCCACGACCCTGAGTTCATGACTTAAGCCGAAATCAAGAGTCAGAGATTTAATGAAGGGAACCACCCAGGTGCCCCCTATGTAGAAATTTCTATTAAAATACAAAAGAAATTATTTCAAAATTTAATGTTACCCAAATTGCAAATACAAAATATGCCCTGACAGGGGCACCAGGGTGGCTCAGTCCATTGAGCATCTGACTCTTGATCATTATCTCTTGATCATGGGATCAAGCCCCAAATTGGGCTCTGTGCTCAGCTCAGAGTCTGCTTCAGATTCTCTCTCCCTCTCCTTCCTCTCTCTCTCTCTCAAATAAATAAATAAAATCTTTAAAAAAATGCACTCACAAATCCAGACTTAAAATTTGTCTTTTTCAAAATCTTCTATATGATGATAAGAAGTATCTTATAACTTTATTTTTACAAAATAAAAACAAGACAGAGTGAGTCCAAGTGTTATTTTTGCTTAAACTCTATTTGATGTTTGTATTAATTGCACTACATAGGTAGGAATATAATCATGTCTAATAGAAGAAAATAGTCCATATTTAAACATTATGCACTATTTTATGAATATCATAATCATGTTCAATTAAAAAAGATCCAAGTGGAAATATGGAATCGTGAAGCAATCAATAGCAGAATTTAAGGAGCATTTAAATCTAGTAATAGCCACTAACAATAATTCTGTTATTTGGATTTTGATATGCTCTGTTTCTTGGTATTTTAATATTTGTCTATTTACATTTTTTAGCGCCCTACGTCTTTAATTCTCTGCATTTTTTTAATATTTATTTTTATTTACTTTAGAGAGAGAGAGAGAGAGAGCAAGCATAGTGGGGAAGGGCTGAGGGAAATTCTTAAGCAGACTCCGCACTGAGATCTCATGACTCTGAGATCATGACTTAAGCTGAAACCAAGAGTTGGATGTTTAACCGACTGTGCCACTCAGGCACTCCTGCATATTTTTTTTCTTTGATATATGCATTAGGTAGTCAACAAATAACTTTCATTGAATTGGCAATATATGATTTATTTAGTTGGAGAGGATACTTACTTTCTTATATACTGAATGCCAAACACTACCAGTCACCAAGGATAAAAACATAAATAAGACAATGGACTTCAAAAAACTACTCTAAGAGTTTAGTAGGGGGAGCAAACATAAAAAAAAATACAATGTATTATGACAAGTGAAATAATAATATGTAACATTTGCTGACCACTATTAGCAAGGGCCATGGTAAGCACTTTACACCTATACCTCTGTTTACCTTCAGTCCCATTAGATAGATACTAATACCAAATCCATCTTAAAGCAGGTAAAGTGAAATACAGAGATATTCAATAACTTGCCCATATCACAAGAATAGAGTTTGGGTTTGGGCCTAGACCATCAGACCACGTGGAATCTGCATTAACTTTCTCCCTTGTTCAGAAGAAACAGTGATAAACTAACTCATCCTAGAGCTATATCTGGAGTTTTCAGAAAGAAAGTGACATCTGAACTGGATGTTATAGATGAGTATTTGCTAGGCAAAGAAGACAGGAAGGGTTTTTAGCATGAAGGAAAGCATTATAAAAAGGCAATGAGAATCAAAATTGGGAATGATACAAGAAATCAGGAATCACAAGTGGTGATTGTGTGTGGTTGGATGTGAGCAGCACAATGAGAAAAGCCAGTAAAGATAGAGATGGTTTAATTGATGAAAGACTTTTATCCCTTGCTCAGGGTTTACTCCTTTAGTACAGGGATGACAAGGTTTATTTGCAAAACAGCATTGATTTATAGGCAGTGGCTTGTATTTTCAAGTCATTGCTTTTAGAGCAGCATGGAGGATTAATTGGGATCTGAGAAACCTTTTAGAAGTCTATGTCATTATTTAGACATTACTTTCCCAAACAAAGTTGGAGTAGAGAGGTGGGAGGGTAATGAGGAATATTACTTGGCAATTTTATTTGATAATTTTGTTAGGTATGAGAAGCGAGGGTGAGGGGAAAGGAGAAAGAGAAAACATGTCCCCAGTTTTTAGCTAAGCTGCTCAGTGGATGGTGCTACCAATAATCAAGAGAAGGGAACAAAGAGAGATATGCCTGATTGGTAGAGATGGGAAAGTGAGTTACGTTCCTTATTATACATCTTGGGATATCTAAGTGGGGTCTTCTGTAGGCAGCTGGTAACATGCCACTGCTCAATACAAAATTCAGATTTGGATCTGATGTCATCTACCTATAGGTAGTATGCAAAGGGGATGGATGATTTCATCTAGGCATGAGCCCATAACCCAAAGAAATTGACAAGACCAACTCTGGGGAATGCTGTCATTTGAAGGACAGATGCTGCTATAGTAGCAGTTGAAGGAAGCTTTGAAGAACGAGTCAGAGAGATGGAAGGAGATCAGACTGAAGTGGAAATACAGAAGCCAAGATGTGATGTGCTATACATCTTCTGTAACATTCATTTCTCTAAATACTTTAAAAATATCTCTTTGGAATAAGTGAAATCAGTGTCCCTCAAAGGTGTAATTTTGATGCCCAGCCTATAGCACCGATTCTTACTAAAGCATACCCTAATATAGTGCTGTCAGCTTGGATCAAAGAACATTATAAGAAAAGACCAATGGAAATTTGTGTTGCATCTACTATGAATGTGTCTCTCTCTGCCACATCCCTCCCTCCCTCCCTCCTTCCCTTCCTTCTTTCCTTCTTTTGAGGATGTTGCTCTCTTCCTTACACAGGAAACTTGGTAGAAATTTCACTTATATCTCAAGAAAAGAAACAGTTATGCTACTGCTGACCAGTTATCTATACATGTATCTGTATCTATATTTATCTATCTGCTTGATATGAATCATGTAAGATATAATGTGAATCATGTAAAAGTTTGTTCCCCTTTTTTCATTGACTCTAAAAGGCTTAGATTATTTCCGGGGATATCTTCTGTCATAAAACCTTGCTGTGCCCCTTGTGGATAGACTTTACTGCCGACTCCATCTTTTGCAGCCTGCCAAAATGCCTCATTCAGTTATTTCAAATTTGATTCTTTCCTGCTAAGTTGTATGATTGTTTTGGAAAACACTGTGTTTGCTGGAACAAGAAAGAAAATAAAAACAAGTGTATGTATTAATTTTGAAGGTTTTTGTACAGTGATTTTGACCTATTGCAGACTTCATTTGGTAAATGTTAGCTGAACTGAATCCACAGTGGGTTGAGTATTGTTATGTGAGAGCTCAGCTTTTCTCAGCTACTCCAAAACACCTTAGAAGTTTCTCTTGGTGACTGACTTTGATCAGGGTCCCATCTCTGTCTTCCACAGTGACAAGGACGGTGTGTGCAGAACAGTGTGATGGCAGGTGCTATGGGCCCTATGTCAGTGACTGTTGTCATAGAGAATGTGCTGGGGGCTGCTCAGGACCGAAGGACACAGACTGCTTTGTAAGTCTTGGAGCTTCTACTTTTCCCATCTCCATCCTTCCTGGCTGGACTTAGGCACATTGACTCTTTAACATTAAAATAAGATCAAGTTTAACCATTTTAACCATTAACCATTTTAGGATTAAGAAAGATGCTCTGCCTTCCTATAATTCATTCCCTCACTGGGTGGCTATTGATTGACTAGGATTGTTCTGTTCTTGTATAATGAATTATGTCTTTCTGATGTAATTTACAATACAGGTGAGATGTATTAGAGAATGTGAAGAGGAACATATTGAGATATCTTTTTAAAAGCTAATAGCATCCTTCCAAAATTTACATTGATTACCTGTTTATGTTGTTGCATAATTGAGTTTTCTGAGTGGGGGCTCTTGAATTTTATTTCTTGGATTTAAATTTTAAGGTTATAGCCATAGATTTCAAGATTATTCTTAAATTTAACTATTTCCCAGTTTATTTTGTTTACAATTTAATTTTATTCATAATTTTTAAGATTTACAAATGCATGCTTAAAGCAATTTATATGCTAATCTATGTGATTTTTATTTTAGAAAAGGACACTTTTCTAAACATGTTGAGAACATGTTTTAATTACATTTTAATATACCCGATACAGTTCTTTCTGTTCTTTTGAATACAGACAGTTCTGTGAGCTATAGTTAACACAATTTCATATACAGACATTATTTTCATTTTAAGCTAAAAATCATAAAATAAGAAATTGTTTTTGCTGTTAAAAATGAACACAGAAATTCATTTTCTTTTTTCCCATTTTGAAATATCCAGAGAATACACATACATATTTAGAACTGAATATTTTTTCAAATTGACACTTAACTCTGAAAATAAGCAAAACATAAATTAAAACTCTTATGACATAGACAATTTCTTAATTTTCTTAACATCACAAGAAGCTTAATTTGTTGACCCTAATCCTATAGTGAAACAAAAGTATCTATTGCAGAAGTGAGTAGTGAAGAAGAAAAGAAACATTTTAAAAATTTAAGGAAGATGCTTTAGCAGGCCTTGAAGTGAGACCTTTTCCCTTGCCTATCACCAGACACAAGGTAAAGCTTGATGTCGAGGACGCTGAGCAGGTGTTAACAATTCCAAAACAGTAACAACAAGAAACACCAACAATAGCCATAACTTTTACTTAGAAGTTTTTCATTGCATTTGTTTTCATGGTTCCATTGTCATAATGAACAGAGTGTCGGGTGAGTCTCAGAATCCTCATTTCATTACTTTTATGGGATGGTCCAATGACTCCACTTTGGCATTTGGTACAGAATGTTCAAGAATGCCAGACTGAGGCCTTGGTATAAGTTACGTTGTTTTGCATGCTGTCTGGAAGGTAAATTTGTTTGATTCCTTTAGTTTATGTCCCTTTGTTGCCAAGTAATCTGTGCACAACCTGCATAAAGTATGTTCGTAAAGCAATTATGAGGACACATGAAGTTTTATAGCCATAAATTAAAACTTACTGAGTTTTGTAGATTGCTTTTTAATAGATTCTTCCTGGAAAATGTCATCTTAGTGACTAATGTATCATGAGTGAGTCTCGTTCTGATTATGCATCTAGTAGACCATCATCAGGGAATTGTCATGTTGGTGATAAAGTGCTTACTGAAACAACAATTGATGAAGAAAATGTTTTGAGGAAACAATGAATTAGTGCTTATTAATAACCATACATACAATTTATGATGAAATATAAAATATAGCTTGAGTGCATATTACTTACTTTCCAAGGCTTCAATTATTCCTATGAAGGTTTAAGCTGTTTAATTAAGAGAATTAGTTTATCAACTCTTTTGAAAGCCATGCTTTATGTACGTAGACATACATTCTATTTTTATACCAAATATCTCTCAGGTGGTAAAATTGTTTTTTAATTCTTCTCAAATGCATTTGAACATATTAACAAATTGAGGTCTCAATACAAATATATAAGTCAGCAGAAACAAATTGTTTTGTTTGAACTTGATGGCTTTCACTGAATGGTGTGGCATTATGAAAAAGACCATATAGGAAATGGCAGCACATTATTTAATTGTGAGCTAAGTATAGGCTGCTTCTCTTCATTTTGGCATTACATACTCCATATTTACACTTGACTGGTCACCTGCCAGAGCCTTTTCTTCAAGTCCAATTTAAATAGCTATCACAATGTTTTCTTACTATACAACGGCGATGAATGTGCTTACCATGTCACTTACAGCACTGAACTTTTCCAAACACCAGCTTTAAGGAAAATCTAGACTATAGATTTGGGGAGTTAGTTGTTAGTGCCAGACTCTAAGACTCAACATAAACCCTTTGAATAGTGTGAGTTGAAATAATTTTTCACTATTAGTTAATTTTAATAATTTAGATCAATTATTAGTTTGGAGATTACTGGGTAGAGACTAGGTAAGTTGAATATCAATATCTTTGTATAGATTGTATATTCATTGACATTGGAAAAACAGTTTTGTAAAATTTTCGACATTCAATACAAATTTGAACTTAAAAATAAGTACTTACTGACTATAAAGCTGTCAAACTTTATATTTTTTATGAAATATAAGAATAGAACATACACATATGTTTTATATAAATATAAATATAATAAGTAAAGAACACATCCTTCTTACAAAGCTATTAGAGCAGGGTTCCTTTAACGAGTATTATGAAGGCTATTCTTAAACGAAATTAATATTTGCTATGTTGTAGGCCTGCATGAATTTCAATGACAGCGGAGCATGTGTTACTCAGTGTCCCCAAACTTTTGTCTACAATCCAACCACCTTTCAACTGGAGCATAACTTCAATGCAAAGTATACATATGGAGCATTTTGTGTCAAGAAGTGCCCACGTAAGTAACAAGATAAGAATAACCAAATTAATTAGATCATCATTTAAAAACACACCCACAAAATCATATACATTTATTGTAATTTAAAATTTGCAACAATATCGTGAATTACTTGGATATAGGTACTGTTGCTTACCATTTCACTAATAAGGAAATTACAGTTCAAAAAATTCAAGGGTTTGGTCCAAGTCTCAGCAAAGGAGTGGCATGTTTGAGGTTAGAGTGTAGTGTCATTGCCTTCTAAACTTACTGTTTTCACTATTCCTCAGTGTTTTTGTACATGATGCTGTTTCTCAGAAAAGTGATTAGTTAAGTAGGAGCAAGCTTTGTACTGAATGAGGTCTGCTTCTAATCACAATGAATGTTTACCTAATATCCTTTCTGATTACTTATTTGTAATAGAATGTATAGAACTATAGTTTTAATATCAAATCTAATCTTAAACAATAACAGTAGATGTGAAGGGCATGTTTAGAGGTCTTTACAAAATTGACAGCTCATCCTGAGGATTCAAACAGTTTAGCTTTCATCAATAATTCAGTAAATATATGTCTTCATATTTGCTCCAGTCAGTCTCTTTGCTTGGAATGAGTGATGGGACATTATTTCTTCATTGTTCTATCTACTGGAAAAACTGGAAAAAAAAAAATCACTACATTTGTCCATATATTCATTTAAAAGAAGAAGGTTTTATAAGCTACAGCATACCACTATTATGGTTTTCTTCATTTTGTGCCTGTGATTGAGTAAGAAGTATAAAGGACATGGGATGAGGGTGGCTGTGGGTTCTGGCTTGGCCCACGTATTACTTATGTGATTTTAAATGAACTGTTTAGTTTTCTGTATTCTCCTCTTTAAGATGTGGCTGGTAATAATCATAGTTCTCTTCTCTCCCAGAGTTATTATAATGATCAAAAGGATGGGGAATAAGAATCAGAGGGATAGCATATAAAAACAAGTCTTTGGAAACAATGACAATTTTAGTCATTATTATTAAATATTTTTATATTGGTTAAAAGAATAATTATGCATACAAGCTTTCAACACCTAACTTGTGGCAAGTGGCTAAACACTGAGAACTATTTTGTGAAATTACACACCCAGTTTCTAGATATGGTAACTCCTAAATTTCCTTTCTTAGAATAGTTTAGGTCAACAAATTACAGGCTAATTTAAAACACTTTGGTATTTATCTATGTAAATTTCGAATATTTGAAGGGCCCTGCTCATAAGGCATGGTTTGTTCAACTGCAGCTATCTTGGAAAAACAAAGACATTTAGCTCCTAAATACTGCTCTACAATCCTTAATCTTGAATTCTAAAATTCAAAAACTCCGGATAAATATTTTTTGAAACTCATTTGGCTGCAAAATCTGAACCTAACTGATATGAGGGTCTTTATAATTTGTATTTACTCCACTTGGCATATATTACTGCAAAAATGTAGAAGTGTTTAAATGTGGGGCATTCCTGTAAAGACCTTGCAGAAAGGATGGTTACATAATATACAGTACATTCACTTGTTGCAGGTTGAGTTTGCCTCAGAAAGAGATTAGGTTGTTAAGAAGGAGTATTCTCAGAATGAAGACAGGAAGGATGAAGAACAGGAAGGGAACAGGCTGTGATGCATTCTCCGCAATGTACCTTTTTTGTGGTATAACTGGGAATATAATGATCGTACTGTGCCCACCCCAAAGAATCCATACACATCCCTCTCTACCCCAGACTCCCTTCAATCCCAGATTTTCCAATATTTCTTCCTCCAGGGCAAGCCACTGCTCATGAATCCACATTTATTCTAAGCTCAGGTCACTTTCATACAAAGTAAATGATCATTTGAACTACCCAGAACCATGCCCACTGGTAGGTAACTAGAAAGTTACCATCTTTCTAGTCCCCTCCTCAGTGAGGCTGCAGGGCAGCTGTCATTCATTTTGAGCTGCTTGCACCCACATACCAAACTTAGTTTTTGTCCTCCGTCTGTTAGCTTGTCACAAGTGCCCTCTCTTGGTCCCCATGCAGCCACAGGTATGAGCCGAGGGAGACGTACCAGCACAAGGAGTCTGGGCTATCTGCTTATGCAGTTTACTTGTGCCTCTGCCTGGACTCATATCCAATCTTAAATGCATTGCCTCCATCTTAACAGTGGATTCCTGTTGGACCTGCCCAACATTATGACATCATGGTTCAAATAAAACCTGATGTGTGATGGGCGGTTCTGACTATAAAATCAATCAATGACCCATGGTTAGGTGCTCTATCTCTATCAGGACCCAGAAACATCTAAGGAGCTGTTTATTAAAAGGTGTATAATTCTATGCCACAGATGGCATGGATTAGCTCTAGAATCCTAGAGGTCTCTGATACGATTTTCCAGCTGGGACTTGCCATAACTCCATATGGCATATTTCCTACCACAGACACTCCTAAGATCATAAAGCCTCTTGGGTTTGTTTGTTTGTTTGAGGGAGAGAAAGAGAGTGTGAGCGCGGAGGGCACCCCACCTCTTGGATTTTGTGACCCAAGTAGCAGAAATGCTTGCATCCCCGACTGGACCTGTACCATATGCCTTTCTTGATCTGAGACCCCTTCAAGGCCAGAAGCCTTCCATACCACTGAATATTAGGCCGGAAGCAGTATGCCCTGACAGGGAATATACTGCCTTTAAAATATAAAGTGGCCTTGGGGCGCCTGGATGCCTCAGTTGTTGGGCGTTTGCCTTCAGCTCAGGTCATAATCCTGGTGTCCTGGGATCGAGCCCCCCGTCAGGCTCCCTGCTCAGTGGGGAGCCTGCTTCTCCCTTTCCAACTCCCTTGCGCTTGTGTTCCCGCTCTCACTCTCTCTCTCTGTTGAATAAATAAATTTAAAAAAATTCTTAAATATATATATATATATATATATATATATATATATATATAAAGTGGCTTAGCAGGCGTTGTGTTTTCCCTTTACTATGGGAGGCTCTAGATGCAATTATCTGGGTTCTTTTTTGGGGGGCAGGCAATGTCCTGGCATATTTCAGATCACTGGAGCCATAAATATTTCACCAACGTATCAGGTAATCAGACATTCCTGATGTATGTAGTATGCCTTTCCTAAAGTGCTGCCTTTCAAATTCCATTTTGTTTCTTCATATAAAACTGTGGAACAGTTTCTATGGCATTCCACTGAAAGACAGAACACATTTTAAACATTTCCTCCTGGATATGAAGTGCACTCTCTTGATCCAAGGCAATTCAACGTCAGCTTCATTTGTGCTTCGTGTAACTTGAAGTATTTTTAGACTTCAGACTTGCATCATGACATGAAATGAAGTGGAACTATTGAAAAACACAAACTAAATGTCATGTAGTTTCCTAAGTCTATAAAAGAAATTCACTCTATCTTGGGGGCAATTCAGGTTGCGGAGCTGTAGTCAAGCAGGGACTACCTGTTGTTAACACACGCTGCCCTTGGATTAGATGTGGATGTTCGTAGATTCTATTTCAGGTTGAGATATTTAAACAGAGTTGTTTTAGGGAAAGAGACAGACATGTATACTATCAGTGATGCTAATCATTGTCAAGCCCTAAAGTACTTTGTTTTAAACTTGTTTTCTGACCATCAACATTGCTAATTTCACCGTTTTTTTTCAAATCAGATAACTTTGTGGTGGATTCCAGTTCTTGTGTGCGTGCCTGCCCTAGTTCCAAGATGGAAGTAGAAGAAAATGGGATTAAAATGTGTAAACCTTGCACGGATATTTGCCCAAAAGGTGAGTGATAGTTGAGATTATTTTGGCTAGAACAGGGACCTACTCTAAGGTTTTTCCATTTACTTTTTAATGGACTGGCTAAGTTCACCTCTCTGAACACACACATCTTTTCCATGACTTTGAATAGGTCCCCAAAGTATCAACTCTCTTAACAGTGTGTATTATCGATTTTGAATGATGTATACTAAATGATCCAGGTTAAACTGAGAGTTAAGTTTAATAGAAATTCAGAAAAAAGTTACATTTTATTCTATATGCAGCAAATCTTAGAAGGTATGCATATAACAAGGGATTGCATGATTATTTTAGCATTAAGAACCCATATTAATTCCTTGCCACTCCACACTAAATGATCTGCTATGCATATGAAGGTGCAAAGAGACAAATATGATGTTTACCCTCCAGGTCTTCGGAACTATTTTGAAAGATTAGATATATAAAGTGACAAGGAAATTTACTGTCAGTATTAAATAAATGTTGCAGATAATTCCTGTTTTAGAATTTTAGTAGAGAAAGAAATCCCTTCTAGCTGTGGTGCTCAAATTCCTCACCCAAATGAAACTTAAATTAAGCAGGATGAAAGTACAGTCCAAATTTTCTGAATGATATTAAGCCTTCCAAAGTATCAAAGATTGCCTTTAAAAAGGGCAAACTTCAGACTTATTTTTAGACTACATTCTCTTTCTCTTTCCTCTTCCTCTTTTTGTTTTTGAGTAGAGCCTTCAGAAAGTACAGGTAATACTCAATTTAAGAATTTAAGTATGAGGGCACCTGGGTGGCTCAGTTGGTTAAGCGTCTGCCTTCGGCTCAGGTCATGATCTCAGGGTCCTGGGATGGAGCCCTGCATTGGACTCCGTGCTCAGAAGGGAGTCTGCTTCTCCCTCTCCCTCTCACTCCTCCTCTCCCTCCCTGGCTCGTGCTGTCTAACCCACCCCACCCCACCCCCTGCCCTGCTCAAATAAATAAATAAAATATTAAAAAAAAAGAATTTAAGTATAAATACTTAAATGGCTCTTGATTCTGGCTGCAACTCACATCATTAGTACTTTGTTCAATATATATTCATAATCAGAACAATGTTTTTAAAACCATAGTTTGTAGACCATTGTTAGGCTATGAAATGATTTTACTCAAGTGACCAGGATTTGAAAGTATTGAAAATGATATTTTAGGGTGGATGAGAAAATAGTTGATTTTACGTGGCAAAGGCAAGTATTGATTGTTGTAAGTTTTGTTTTAGTTATGTATGTGTTGTGTGAGTATCCTGGGACTTGATATAAGATATGATTCTTATGCATCATGGTCACTAGACGATCATGCAGGGGCAATATCTTAAAGCAGGCCCAGCAGTTAATGTTGCATGAATAAAGTATTATTTTATTTGTTAGAAAACTGTTTATTTCTTATGATGAACTCTTTTCATTTTTATAATGAAAAAATACTATTATAATAAAAATGCAATAATTTATTGCCTGGAAAAGAAGTTTCTCAACACCCTGACTTTGTCTTATTTCTACAGCTTGTGATGGTATTGGCACAGGATCACTGATGTCAGCTCAGACCGTGGATTCCAGTAACATTGACAAATTCATAAACTGCACCAAAATCAATGGGAATTTGATCTTCCTTGTCACTGGTATTCATGGGTCAGTATGAAGAATTTTTGTAGAAAAATATTTTGCGAAGTATAGACAAAGCTTTAGAGATTCTTTAGCTGTGTCTGTTTGGTTCCTTTTGACCCAGATGAGTTCTGCCCTTCGTTCATGCTCTTCTCCAACAAAATCAAATGGCAGATTTTACCAGCAATGATAGTAAAAACCACAGTTTTGAGATACATAGACTATGAGTTTAGTAACTACTTAGATGTGACAATATAAATTTATATATAAACTAAAATGTATTTGTGGGATATCCTCAAATCCACAGATTTCAGAAAGCTTGACATATTTTTAGATATGTTTAGGGAAACAGCGTCAATGGGTGAAGTGAGGAATTTGATTCAAACTCCTAACTGATTAGTTCAGGAAAACATAAATTAATATTCCTTTTTAAATGTATCTCGTAGAGAACAAATCAGTAAGTTGAAATTCTCTTGAGCCTTCAGAAATTTTCTTTGGCCTGATGTATCTGTCTTTTTCTCTTTTACTTAGGTTAGGAAATTAGTACTAATATAGGAGATCTAATAAATGAATTTCATTTTAGCAATAAAAATTGTAACATTTTCTGGGTTCCTTCATTACAGAACCACCTGCTGGTTTTAACTGGGAAAACAACCAAGTTTGTATTCTTTCAATTGTAATAAAAATGTCTATATTTTTACTTTATATTTTATCTGTTTATCTATATTACTCTTAATCCCTAAAAATTAGTGCTACAGGCTACAGATAAAGAATATTACTCACATATTTCAATTCAAAATCTTAACTCGAAACATATATCACATCATTTCTAAAAGCAAAATAATTTAACACATTATGAATAAATATGTCCAAATAGAAACAGCAAGAGAAATAGAACAAAGTATTTCTTTCCATGCAAATACATTACAGTAGGTCTTATTGCATAAAGCATTTCTTTACTTTAAAATGTAGCTTTTAATATGGGTTCATGCCAGATACCATAATGGTATGTGCACACTTTCTGCCCCAGATCTGTTTTATTCCACCCAAGCAGTGCTTAAAAAATAAATATATGGTCAAGATTTCTAACTTCTCTTTAAAAATACGTAGATTTGGTTACCCTTAGCACATACTCCTACATGACAACAATCTTTTGGAGCCAGGGAGTTCTAGCCATTTTGAGATAGGACAACCAAATTTACCAGAGTCACTACTAACCCTCTAAATCTATTTACATTGCTGTTCTTACCCCCTTGGCCCCAAAGGGTAGAAGACTTGGGTCAACATTTAGGTGCATCTATATAATCGAATGCATATATAACATTTACTAAGACAATATATCCACACTGTAACTATTTTCAAAACCAAATACCACCATGAATGAAAGATCGTATCATGGTAACAGCATCTTCTGAGAAATAGGAAGACATACCCACTTAATTCACATTGCCTGCTTCCACGTGGGTATAATAAATGGATTGGCCTCAAGTCCATCAGTGTGGGGAAAGATTTGAAAACATAGTCTCATAAATTGCATTAGAGAAGTTGTTTTCATTCTAATCAGACCGAACATCCATCTTTTATAAATTAAGTGTATTCCTACTTCCTTTTGAATTATGAAATAAAAATCATAGATAATATAGCCTACCTATATACATAATTTTATAATGTGATTCTAATTCTCTATTTATAACTTAAAGAAAAAATACAAGCAAAGTAATGGATAATAAAATATGTATTGATAGGAAAATGCTCAGCTTCTACTTACTTATAATGAAAGTTGGGATTTGTGAGACGTAAGATTAGAAGTTATTCTGTGCAAGAAGTATGGGGAAATAAAGAGTAGAGGAACGGCTGACCACTGGAATAGGAAATAAGTAACAGACATACTGTTATATGACAAGAGGAAGACAGAAATAAATCATTCAAATAGAGGCAACCTGACTGCAGAATTACACCCAGTCATGTATGATCAACTATGAAGTTTGTGCACATGGGTCCTTAACTGGATGGGACATTTAAGGTTGTTCAAGACATGAGGCAAACCTTTGCTGGGAAAGACATTTAATTTTCTTGGCTTGGGGTTATTACGAAAAGCCTATAATGTCCCCCAATCTCTGTTACAACTGATACGCCTCTGCAAATGTCCCAGCTTCCCCTTAGTGGGGTAATACTGCCCCCATTGAGAACCACTGCAAGAATTCTGTGATAGTAGAAGGATTATGAACCAACAAAAGCAACCCACTGATGGTTAATCTGGTAGGTAAACCATGGGTGGGGAAGTTTGACAAAGATGATCAAGTGCAGTTCAGAATTCTTATTTTAGTCTTGGTTCCTTATGGAGCATATTTATCAAAAGTCAGGATTTATACTAATTGTAAAATGGTTTTACATATTCTGAATCACCTAATGTCCAGAATAGAGGAAATATCAATAAATAAATGCAAAAAAGGGAAGCAGCTATGTCAAGATATAATAATCCATTGCACAATAGACACCATATATTCACAAATTTATGAGAAGAATCATTACAAAGTATTAGATTAATCCAGACTTTGAAGGAAAACAACCTTGCCAATTCACTCAGGTGGAAATGAATTATAGAAAATTGACTCACATAATTAGAAACAGAAAGGTAAACAAAGCCTCTCTTAAACATGAGCTCAGAAAGTAAGAGTTAAAGTTCCTACTTCAGTAATTTGATCCAGACTATGCTAGAGTTTGATTTGAGGCTCTAACATAGACAATTTCCATTACATGTCAAATGCTCAGTTTCTTCCAGTGTAAAGTTGAGAATTGGGTTTATAATAAATACCTACCTTCTCTGATTATTATGGGGATTAAAAACAAAAAATTATTTTTGAGTGCTCAGCCAAGTACCTGGCATATTGTGAAACATTAATGAATGGTACAAAAAAAAAAAAGAGGCAGGGGGAGAAAAGGAGGGAGAGGAAAAAGGGAGTGAGTGAATTAAAAAAAAGCAAAGAAGGAGGAGACAGTGCTAAAGAAAAATCTCAATGACTATATCTAGTTATAGCACAACATGCAGTCTAACAGATATTATTTTGTAGACTACTGAAAACCAAATAAAGGCAAAGTTATTTTCATGGCAATATTTCCTTTATGATAAGTCATACTCCTTCCTTAGTCCAGAAGATTATTTCTTCTTAATCATAGCACTTAACTTGGAATATTTTAATACTAACATTATAATTAATGTTATTGTGTCTTAACCATAATATATAAGGCATTTTCCAGGACAAATATATATGTTATATATGATATTTCTCATTCCCAGTTTTATGCCAGTATAAAATATATATTCTGAAGCCTTTCTCTTGATCTTAGGAAAGTTTTGATAAAAAGTTAATTCAGTAAGTCTAAGACATCTTATAAATGCTTAGGCATTATGTGTATTCATGTATACAATTCATGCATGTATGGAGAGAGAGATTTTAAATGTGACTAGCATGAAGTATTACAAGCAAAAAACTTCTAGTAAATTAAAGACATGTTTTACTTCACTTAATTCCCATTACCCTCGATCTTCTACTATTTTTTAATAAGATGTATGGTTTGAGTAAAATAGCTAAGGTATTTCTTTAAGCTAATAGGTAAAATTCATAATTAGATGAGATAATACTTTTCAAAAACAAGTTTCTGCAAAAAATAAACTTACTGTAAATTTGTCAATTACAATTTTAATATATAAAAGAACTCAACAAAGTTAATTGTCATGTTCAGTTTATAGCACAATGGTGTCATTGCCAGAAGGCACTCTTAGTTCTTTATTTAGAATGGGAACCACAGGCAAACCTGTGTTCAGGTTATTCATAGGAATGTTCACCTTTCACCTCTACTCATGTTTGGTAATAGTCATGTGCATGTACTTAGAGTAACAAAATGCTCACCCAATAAGCATGTTCATGCTGTGTCGCAGTGAGACACAGACAAGAAAGTGCTTAGATAAGAGAGTGTAATGATGATATACAATGGAAAAGAGCTAATGAGTTTGGTGAAAAATAAAGCGATTTCAACAGAATTATAAAAATAGGTTTCTCTCTCTCCTGAGCTTTATTTTGGATCACCAAACACAATGACAGGGTGGACATAAAGTTCTTTCACATGGCTCTGTATTTAGCTAGGGAAGTTCTCAATTTTAAAGTACTATGGATTTCAAGTGGCTATAGGATGCAACTCCCTGCAGGTACTTTGAAGTTGGTAAGTAGGATTCTGTCAACTTATTTTATGAGAGTCCTGAATCTCTAAAATTAAGTATATAAAATTTCTGTGGTCCATTGGGCTTCATATGAACAGTCCAGAATTCATTTCATTCCTGGCAACTTGGAAGTGTTCTCAGTAAAGGTTTAGACTGACCCTATTATTGTGTGCTTGCCCTGAATTGTGAGTGTTTCTCCTTAAAGCCAAGATATTTGATTATATGACCAGAGCTGTTCTATACACTGCTTTTCATCAAACAACAAATGTTGAAAGCTCATTCTTCTACTGCAGAGCTGATATTTTCTCTGCATACAAAAGTCTTTGCACATTAAAAAATGATAACAAGATTTTGCCCGCATGGTGAACTTAATTTCTTGGCTTCATGTTCATCCAAAGCATAGTATTTCATTCGATGTATCAGTTATAAATAGAGCAAGTTTGCCAGAACATTTAATTTAGACTTTAAGCTTTTGAGAGACATTCATATCACATTGAGGAAAATCTTAATTATGTGTGAATTATGGGGAAACTCATTTATAGTGTTTCTCTAAGCCTTCTAAAACACTCCCTGTTAAACTAGTGGTACATTGTATCAATTATACTTCATAGATTAAAACAGTATTTAATCAAGCAGAGTTTTTGTTGTTGTTTTGTTTTGTTTTTTGTTTTTTGTATTTTTTAAGATACAGGATGGTTCACTGTATAGAAGCATATGCGGATAAACCAAGTTGAGAGAGCCAGTAAAATGGAGTTCCAAAGATTAAGGTTGTTGGAACTAATAGTGTTTTCAAGGTTCTAAAGCAAGGATGAATTAATGTCAATGGGTTCAGACTCAAATTTTAGAAGACAGGCCTTATGCCTTTCTGTTTGTCAGAGGGCTGTGGAACACCTTGATTGATAGCCCTATTAAGGCCACGTCTAATGTATCACAGTATCCTATTGTTTACTCCCCAAGTGAAAAAGAAGGTTCTCAAAGATGTAAAACAACAGATGTCCACAGCAATAATAAAGCTCAGGTGATTGCTACAGATGGATACATGCTTCTAAAAAGCCCTAAGTTCATTGTTCTTAGGTTTGCTCTCTCTTGGAGAAGTGGTCAATGAATAGTATTTAATTTTTCTCTATAGGGTATATATTGATATGAGGTCTCTATTTGCCCAGGATAGCACAGGTCATCTTTCAAAGTAATAAAACTTAAAAGAAAAGAAAGGTGTTCCTAAAATAGCTGAAAAGAGGTATTCCTTAAAATATTCCTTAAAAAGGAATAAAATAAAAATTTTATTCCTTAAAATTGCTTGAATTACTGAGAAATGTTTGATATTATTTGCAAGTATGCAGTTATTTGGTATGGTCAGTATATTATACATGAAAGGTATCTTCCTAAGAAGAAAACTTCTGAAAGAATCCAATAAATATTTAATTTTAAAAGGTAATTTATGTTCATTTTTGAAAAGATAGGGCATCTATATATCAATAACATTAATTACAAAAATATATTTATGCATTAGGAGATGACATTTTTTTAAATCTCCAAAATTTACACCTTTTGGATATTAAGTTTGTTATAAATTTTGTTTCAGATGTTAGTATGATTCATAAAGATGGAAGAATATTTCCTGTGCTTTAAAAGCAAATATAAATAAACCAGATAGGAACAAGATTGCTCTAAATAATCCTTATGAAGAGTAACTTTCATACAATGTTATGAAAATTTACTAATAAATGTAAGGATATAGCAAAAAAGAAAAAAATTATTTCATGTGCTTGTTTTTATCCATCTTATGAAATTGTAGGTGCTGTTAGCACTTTAGGATGCTTTGAGGAGCCCAAAAGGCAATTGTTCTCACCATAATTATTTGCAGAGTATACTTTTCCCAATTAAAAAAAAAACTTTAAAGGCAAAATAAAATAAAATTATTTATAAACAGATTTGTTATGTTTGGAGATTTCTTTTGGATAGTCAAACTGGACCATTCCTCTAGAATTAGAATAGCCTTCAAAGAAGAACTCATATTTGATATCATCATAAATGTCCTCAAAGCACCTTTTAATTCTCCTTCACATGTAGCATAACAAACTTTGGACAAGGCATTACTAATCTTTCCATTGCTACTTAAAATTCAATTTGAATGAACTAACTATAGTAACATATCTTATGTTTTCACTTTATCTGATTTAAAATTTGGCTGCATCTCTTCTTGATTCTCTAGGGACCCTTACAATGCAATTGAAGCCATAGACCCAGAGAAACTGAATGTCTTCCGGACAGTTCGAGAGATAACAGGTAATTTTTTTTAAAAGTGTGTTTGTTGTCCTATGAACTATGTGAATTTTAGTGTTTTCCTGAAAATATTACATAATATTGAAGTCAGCAACTTATTTTCAAAGCAAATTCTAATTTTAAAAATGCATGTCACTTTAAATGATGGGTGTCTTTATTCCTTAGCATTTGTGCACATTTTGAAAGCCCATGGAATTTACAAAATAAAATATCCTTAACATTTTTATGTTTCTGTTTTTGTGTCAACTGATCTTTTGATCCCTGTTTTTCTATGTACTTTTTCACAAGAAGTACTGTTGAGCATGGATAACATGTGACACTCATTTGGCACATATTTATTGAGCACCTAATATGTTCAGGGCTGTTATATAGTAGCTGACAAGGGACTCATAGACATGAATTGGATATGGATTTGCTGTTGAAGAATGAAAAATCAAATGAGAAAGGTTAGGTATATATATGAATGCATTAGGCTGCAAGGCAGACAAATGATGTCATAAGTGTAGAGATACAGTAGTAAAGGATTTCCAGAAAAATTAAAGCTATATTTTTCTCTTTACATAATTAGACTAAGTAGTTTTGATTTTAGAAGAATGAATCAAATTAAGGATCATTTAATTCTTTTTACATATATGGTTCTATGATTCTGTGTGTCTGAGAAACCTAGATTTTTGGTATTCATTAGTTTGGTATTCATTATCTATTGAGTATCGTGGCCCAGGAATTTTGGGTAAGACACCAATCTTGGAAGAAGAACTATGAGATAGAATAGAATGACTTGAAATAGGAATATTCAGTGTCTTTTTTTTACCTCCTATCTTTTAAGACATTTTCATATTTCAAGGATACTCAGCATTAAACACAGTTACTAAGGTAATGATATTCTGAGTGTTTTTACTGCCCTTGTCTTTTTTAGGTTTCTTGAACATACAGTCATGGCCCCCAAACATGACCGACTTCAGTGTTTTTTCTAACCTGGTGACCATCGGTGGAAGAGTACTCTACAGGTAGGTGTATATGTTCAGAGATGCAGGTCTTCCAGATTTCAAGACTAGTGTCATGTGTACATATCTCAAAGTTTCAGCTTCACAGATTCAAGAAATATTGGGTTTCCATTTTTAATTCCAAAGGTAAGCCCAATGAAACATACCCCAGGTTGTGCCTTAAAGTATGCAGGATACAAAATAAATAAATAAGTAAAGTATGCAGAATAATCAGTTTGATTTTTCAACTGCCTCTCACTTAAAGCAGTTTTAGTGATTTGCATATATGGAGTGCATAAAATCAAACCTTTGTTTTTGAACATAATGTTATCGTAACTAACAACTAACATGGGATGACTTGATAATGGCTTAGGTGTGTGGGATACAAATGCTGTTTTACCAGAAGGTTCTTGTCTCTGGTGCCATCATTTGAACCACGCATAATGGGGCTGATATTTCAGGACTTGGTCTACTACTCTTCGTTAAATACTGGCTAATAGTGGGCAGAAAAATCAGGGCTCAGAAGCACACTAAAAGTCTAATATCAATATTTTAATTCACATAATAAAAATGTGTGTTAATATTTATTAAGCCACTGCTTTATTTTATTTTAGATTTCATCTGTATGAGATTCTTATTTATGAACAGCTAAAAGTTGATTTACATAAAGGGATTTAGATTTCATTTTTTCTACTTAAATCTGAAAGATGCCTTAAATCAATATTGTCATCAAATATTCCATAATAATATTTCACAGAAAGTCCACTGAATTTGCGATTAAAACAGGTATATCTGTAAGAGGTTTTAAACTGTAAAGGGGAAAAGTTCTTAATAAAAAGGCATAGTTGAGAGATACAGTCTGTCAAGTTCTACATGCAACCAAATTTTACTATCCATTGAATCAAATGTTAAAAATCTGTCAAGCATTATTATGTTCACATTGTGATAAACTCAAGATGGTTATGATGGGAACACAGATTTCAGAGAATGAATTACATCTCAGTTGAATACACATGTACTGAGTTTCATATAGAGTTTTAATATGTATGTATGTATATGTATATATATAAGTATATATGTAGGTGTATGTGTGTGTATACATATATATGAGTATTTATATATATGTGTGTGTATATATATATATATATACACACACACACACACAGCACATGGAAAAAATTCTGACTGTTGGCAGCAAAGTATATTTAGATTTATAAATAAAATAAAAGGGGACAGCTTTGATCTCCAAAATGTAAAATATTGTTCATTAGTTGATTGAAATGTGGGAAACAGATGATTCTTTAGAGAATAGAAAAGGAATTTAATTACACAATGTAGACTATGTTAAAATAAAAACAATTTCCTTGGAATGATAATTTGTTTCCACAGTATAGTTGTTATTTAACTTTTAGAGATGCTTTCCCCAGTTGTCCAAGACTTCTGAGTATTTTTTTTAACTTTTAGCTTAATTTCATTCTTCTCTTTAATTTTTAATGTCTCCTATCTTTACTTACACATTCTTCAACTATTACAATTACACTTTGGTTTCTGAGGTATAAATTAAAGCTAAATATCTGTAGTCATTCTCTGTAATATTTACCCCTGAAAGCATGTCTAAATTTATTAAATAGAGTAGAATTACTGTCTTACTTTAGGTAGATGAATAATCATTCCATAAACATTTATTAATTATTTAGCTTTTTTATTTTATTTTATTATGTTATGTTAATCACCATACATTACATCATTAGTTTTTGATGTAGTGTTCCATGATTCATTGGGGTGGCTGGGTGATAGATAGGCTGGGTATGTGCTATGGTGAGTGCTGTGAATTATTTAGCTATTTAAAGTTTTATTTATTTAAGTAATCTTTACACTCAACATGGGGCTCATACCCAATGACCCTGGGATCAAGAGCCTCATGCTCCTCCAACTGAGCCAGCCAGATTCCCCTAATTATTTAGTTTTAAAACAGAATTTCATCCTTAAAGAACTTGAGACTTGGGGGATAGTGGGAAAAATAGTGAGCAGATATGTCAGTGGTAAATATGTACACAGAAATGGAGATATCATTAATATTTATACTTCTAAAAATGAACATTTTCTTTTTGGGGGTCAAATGATTCCTTTTAAAACTCAGTATATATAGCATGTAGAGAAATAATATTCAGATCACAATTTATTGACTCAGTCTCTTTTTATATGCTCTATTAGCATTCTTTTTGGAGTAAGATGTGACATCCTTATTTTACTTCAAGAATATGTGCCAGAAAATATTTAATAATATATACATATTAAATATTGTTCCATTTTCCCCCCCTTCCTTCTCTTTAGTGGCCTCTCCTTGCTTATCCTTAAGCAACAGGGCATCACTTCTCTACAATTCCAATCTCTGAAGGAAATCAGTGCAGGAAACATCTATATTACTGACAACAGCAACCTATGTTATTATCATACCATTAATTGGACAACACTCTTCAGCACTATCAACCAAAGAATAGTGATCCGGGACAATAGAAAAGCTGAAAACTGTAGTAAGTACATTATTCGGACATTAAAACAGAAACTTTGAACATTTTCTCCCATTCTACACTGGACCAAACAGTTAAACATAACTGAGTCAGACCTGTTCCCTCTTTTTCACAACTCTTAGAAGGGGGGCCGTTAATCAGCATGGGTGACTTTTTATAATTTATTGCATGTTTTTATAACATACTGCATGCTTGCAAATCTTGCCCAATTGCAAGAAACTTCCTATAGAGACTAAGGTTCAATAGGTGTAAGTGGAACCTGGGAATCTAAATATGTAATAAGCATCCTGGGTCAGTTTGTAGCAATTCACCCTATTAAATTTTCTGTTTGCTTTTTGGTTTCAGTGAATAACATAGGATAACAGAGTGTCATTTGGGGGGTGGGGAAAAAATACAGATGTGCTCTGAAATGTGCAAAAAATGCTGTTCAAGAAGTTTGCTGTTCAAGAAGAAAGTTCATTTCATGAATGCATTTTTGTAGGCATTTCATGGTTTCTTTTATTCATTTTGCCACTTACTGATTCACTCCATCATTTCTTTGTTACTCAGAAACAAATGATGTTTTCATGGGTACATAAATATGCCCTTCCTATCTTATACTTTGATATTTCAACAATTAATATTTAACTCTTCTGTTCTACTAAGTACTATTTTCTTCTACATCTACAAGTGCCACTGCTAAGCATATGTGTCTGACTTACTTATGATAAATATCAAATAAAAAGACTCAGAATTTAAATTATCTGTTACAAATACATATACTTATTGTGGTCATGGTGAATCAGTCCTTTAAAAAATCAAACCCTAAGAAACAGTTTGCTGTTGGAATGTCTTCCTATTTGTTTGGTCTCACCATGGGAATAAGCATATATACGTAATGATTGAGTTCATTTTGTACGTGTGTGAGTGAATAGTAAAGGACATTTTTTAAAAATATGAACTCTTAACAGGCCTATGCAATTTAAGTTTACTAAGTTAAATAGTGAATTACTTTATCTATGAGTACCCCACCTTGTTCCAGAAATTGTTTAAGGCAGCTCAGGATAGCGGTATTCATAAAATATAATTTGTAAGGAAATCACATGTTAGCTGTTTTGGACCCTTAAAAACATTTTCCAGAGAAAAGATAAATTGCAACATGAGTTTTTTTTTTTGTTTTGGGTAAACTCATTCTTCGGTTCTACATAAAATCAAGAAATATACAATCTTATTATATAACAATATCAAAATATGCATGTTCTTATTGAATGACATTTATCTTTTTATTTAGCCTGGATTATTTCCATGGTCTTATTCCTCTCTGATTTCTGACAGAAAGCTTGTTTTTCTTTTTTTCTAATACTTAGGCTTCTTACCCCACATTACTATATGTATGTTTGTACATGCCCCAGACAAAATAGATTATTCACAGAAGTAAAATAGAATCTTGTTCAACACAAACTTATAACTATTTCCCTAAGTCAGGGTTATCTTCTCCTTTTCTCCTACTTCCTTCAAAAAACAAAACAAAACAAAACAAAAATAAAACAATAGTACTCCTACCTTTCAAAGATAAGATTTAACTCTAAAAACAAGAAAACAAAAGAAAAAAAATAAAAGAACCAGAGAAACACATTCCTCTTTGACCCACTTAATCATTTTACAGACCCTCATTTACTTCTTTTATCTTTTGTAAACTCAATAAAAAAGCAAATGGGATGAAGAAAATGCAGAAAGAAATTAGATGTTAAAAAAGCAAGATAGGAAAAATGTAACTATTCCATACTTCTTTAAGACTTCTAAACTTTTCATGCAACCAAAAAAGTAAATGATAACAATAAACTAAAAATCTAACATGTTTTTTCAGTTTTCAGTGTTACCCTGTTAGACTGAGTTTAGCCCTTTTGCAGACCATGCATGTATTTTTTTTTTTCTGTACACTTACAGTTGACTTTTCCAATTTGGAGAAGAAATGAAGCAGTTAGGAGAAACACAGTTTTATGGTGCTTTAGTATAAAACTAAGCATTAGCATATTTTTAAATTTGTAACATCTTAGAACAAACAATTTTTGCATGAAATCCATTTATCAAAATTTGAATTTCAGTCTAACAGTACATTGGATCCTGCATTTCAGAAATGTAATTGCCCTATAAACTTGACTTTAGAGGCTATGCTGCTGATGTTTACATTGAGCCTACAGTGGTTGCGATCATGTGATTAAAGCCTTTTTATCATCCATACTACTATCTGCAAATGATAAAACTTAAATATTTGCTTCATTTTAAATGTACTCTACATATTGCATTTTTTAGATATCCTCTCTTAATATCTTTTGCACATACAAGATATATAGAAGCACACACATATGTATTCACCACAAAACACACACATATAGTCAAAAATTTCAAAGCAGACTTTAAATATGAAGAGATTGAGATTGAGAGAAACTCTAGGATATGAAAAGCTAGAACATTTTCTGCCTCTTCATTTGTATGGTTATAGCACAAGCAAAATGACAGTTCTGGTTGGAAGGACTATTATTGTTTTTATTTTTATTTTTAAAAAAGATTTATTTATTTGAGAGAGAGAGAGTGGGGAAAGGGACAGAGGGAAAGAGAGAATCTCAAGTAGACTCCACGCTGAGCACGGAGCCAGATGCAGGGCTCCATCTCAGGACCCTCAAATATTGACCTGAGCCCAAATCAAGAGTCAGCTGCTTAACTGACTGGGCCACCTAGGCACCCATGGAAGGAGTTTTAGAGTAGGTTAATGAAAGTACTTGAAGTTTCTTAAAATATTTCAACATAAACTTTTGACACCAAAACATAAACAGTAAAGAGATAAATATTACACTAACTCCTCAGAATCTGAGTTACATTTAAACTCATAACTTTTTCTTAAAAATTTTTGTACATATACACTTAAATCCAACATAAACAAGAGAGAAACTAAATTCATAATTAACTTTTCAAAATGGAAGTACATTTATTTTTCTAATTATCATTGTTAGAAATTAAAAGAATAGACACATAAAAAGAATGTAATTTTTGTTTACGGATATATAATGAAGCATATATCTTCATATATAAATGGTATCATAACATATATATTTAACTACTGTTCAGCCATCTATGTCTCTACTTAATATACTATGAGCATCTTCCATGGCAGAGTTCTACTTTATTGTTTTAAAAGATACATATAAAAATATTTATTGAACAAGTGCCATATTAATGGTAATTTAATTTATTTTCTAGTTTTTATATTATTAGATTGCCATACGTGAATCTTAGTTCATAAAGCATTTTATGATTCCTTGGGCTAAATACTTAGAAGTGGGATTTCTGTGTAAATGAGGTTGCATATGATAAATTTTGGTGTATTTTTCCATATCATCTTTCAAAAATGCTAGGTCAGTTTACAATTGTCCTAAACAATGCTTGATAAAGAATATTTTCCACTGCTTATTACAACACTGGATATTATTTATGGTTTTAAATTTCAGTGATCTGAAATATGAAAAAGAGGTCCTTTAAATTCACATTTTTTTTAGCTGACATTGAGCCTCTTTTTATATATTGACTGAATCATTTTAATTTCTTCTCTTGTAAAGTAGTCAGTCATGAGCTTTCTTTATTTTCAATTGGGAGCTGGTCTTTTCCTTTTGGATTTGAAAGACCTCATCACAAATTAAATACATTAAATTTTTTTCTCTTGAATATGTTATGTATAACTTTCCCTCTCATAGGTATTTTAAAAAATTTTGCCTTTTGATAAACAAACATTTTATGTTTTTATCTAGTTAAGTGGATGGATTGTTCTTTTCCTTTTTATCTTTATGATCTTGTCATTGTCTTAGTCTTTTACTTCTAGTATTTTAAAAACTATATGGACATTTTTAATCCACCTAAAAGTTTTGGTATAGTATGATTTTTTTAAATCCTTAATTGATTAGGACATTGATCAAACATAATTTATTGAATAATTCATCTCTTCTCACTGATCTTAGCTGTCTGCAATATTTCAGGTAATTGGCAAAACAGTGCCAGGTTCTCTCTCTCGATCTATATAGTTTAATTTCATCTTTGCCACCACCTTATAAAGTATAATTATCCCTGTTTTGCAGCTGAATATACAGATGTTCAGAAAGTTGAATAATATTCCCACTGTTTGAAGCTATTAAAAATTATATTCAGGATTTAAACCCAATGTCTGTCTAATTTCAAAATCTATGCACTTCATTTCACCTTGATTTCCCCCCAAATAAAGAGAAAGTGGTTGGTTTTTGTAAGAAAACCTGATGATATACTGAAACATACCCAGTGCAGCATAATGCTGAGGAACACACTCTAGACCCAAATCACCTGGGTTTTACTCCCAAGAAAATGATTTACTAGATGTTTGCCCTTTGGTAGGCTATTTAACATTTGTGAAACCTTAATTTTATCATTTGGATGTGGGGTTAATAATAGTACCGTCTTCACTGAATGCCTGGCTCAAAGCAAGTGCTATATTTGTGCTAGCTATTATTATACAATTATATTCTGTCCTACTAAAAATAGGTTATATAGTATATACATGCATATAGACACATTATGAGGTGTAAAGATACAATATTTAACTTTTACTTAATGAAACATCCTTCTTGGGGCAAAGAAAAGGAGGGAGAAATAACAAGGGCCTTCTTAAGGTGGAAGAAAAATTCACATTATCAAGGTGATGAATTTTAAGTGTGTAAGTAGCACATAAACCATGGGTAGATATGGAAGAAATAAAAGTGGTTATTACTAGGAGTCTAGATATTGAGGAATTTGAAAATAATCTGGTGAGATTTTAAATGGATTTAAAAAAATTTCTATGCTTGAGACTCCTCTAAACACTTTTTTTTCTTTACTCTTATAATTAAAACATTTTAAAATTGGCTTTATAAGTAACAGACTATGCTTTATAAAAATATTCACAAAATATGAATTTTAGGTTAGTGTTTCAGGAGACAAATATTTGGTGAGGAGGAGTACATTTT